TTTCTTTTTATTTCTTTTCTATTTTCTTTATTATTTTTCTTTTCTATATTTCTTTTATTTATTTTTTTTATTATATTTCTTTATTATATTTCTTTTCTATATTTGCTTTATTTATATTTCTTTTATTATATTTCTTTATTATATTTCTTTTATTATTTCTTTTATTATATTTCTTATTATATTTCTTTCTATATTTCTTTTTTATAGTTCTTTATTATATTTCTTTTCTATATTTCTTTATTATATTTCTTTATTCATATTCTTTTCTATATCTTTATTATTATTCTTTTCTATATTTCTTTATTATATTTCTTTTCTATATGTCTTTATTATATTTCTTTATTATATTCTTTTTCTATATTTCTTTATTATATTTCTTTTCATATTCTTATTATATTCCTTTTCATATTTCTTTATTATATTTCTTTTCTATATTTCTTTATTATATTCCTTTTCTATATTTCTTTATTTAATTCCTTTCCTTATATTTCTTTATTATATTCTTTATTATATTTCTTTTCTATATTTCTTGATTATAATTTCTTTATTGATAGTTCTTTTCTATATTTCTTTAGTATATGTCTTGGCTATACACCCTCCCCATGAACACCCACCACCCCCCACAAACAAACCTGTAACCCCACACAACCCACCAACAAACCAAATGTAACCTACATAGGAGCATCATGCTGCAGTGCATGCATGTCTGGCTGCTGGCATGCAGCATGCAGGCTTGGCAGCAGTCATGTGCATGCAGGCTGGTCATTCATGTCTGCGGCTGCTGCTGGCACCATTACAGCTAGATCCACCTTTACCGCGTAGCACATTTACAGTTTCAGCACAATGTTACCAGCTGTAGCACATGTTAACAGTTATACACATGTTACAGCTGTAGCACATGATACAGCTGTACACATGTTACAGTTGTAGCACATGTTACAGCTGTAGCACATGTTACAGTTGTGGCACATGTTACAGCTGTAGCACATGTTACAGCTGTAGCACATGTTACAGCTGTTGCACATGTTACATGCGTAGCACATGTTACAGCTGTAGCACATGTACAGCTGTAGCACATGTTACAGCTGTAGCACATGTAACAGTTTGTAGCACATGTTACAGCTGTAGCACATGTTATAGCTGTAGCACATGTTACAGCTGTAGCACATGTTACAGCTGTAGCACTTTTTACAGCTGTAGCACATGTTATAGTTGTAGCACATGTTACAGCTGTAGCACATGTTACAGCTGTAGCACATGTTACAGCTGTAGCACATGTTACAGCTGTAGCACATGTTACAGCTGTAGCACATGTTACAGCTGTAGCACATGTTACAGCTGTAGCACATGTTACAGCTGTAGCACATGTTGCAGCTGTACACATGTTACAGCTGTAGCACATGTTACAGTTATAGCACATGTTACAGCTGTAGCACATGTTACAGTTGTAGCACATGTTACAGCTGTAGCACATGTTACAGCTGTTGCACATGTTACAGCTGTTGCACATGTTACACCTGTAGCACATGTTACAGCTGTAGCACATGTTACAGCTGTAGCACATGTTACAGCTGTAGCACATGTTACAGCTGTAGCACATGTTACAGCTGTAGCCAATGTTACAGCTGTAACACATGTTACAGCTGTAGCACAATGTTACAGCTGTAAGCACATGTTACAGCTGTTGCACATGTTACAGCTGTTGCACATGTTACACCTGTAGCACATGTTAACAGCTGTAGCACATGTTACAGCTGTAGCACATGTTACAGCAGTAGCACATGTTACAGCTGTAGCACATGTTACAGCTGTAGCACATGTTTACAGCTGTAGCACATGTTACAGCTGTAGCACATGTTACAGCTAGTAGCACATGTTATAGCTGTAGCACATGTTACAGCTGTAGCACATGTTACAGCTATAGCACATGTTACAGCTGTAGCACATGTTACAGCTGTAGCACATGTTACAGCTGTAGCACATGTTACAGCTGTAGCACATGTTACAGCTGTAGCACATGTTACAGCTGTAGCACATGTTACAGCTGTAGCACATGTTACAGCTGTAGCACATGTTACAGCTGTAGCACATGTTACAGCTGTAGCACATGTTATAGCTGTAGCACATGTTACAGCTGTAAGCACATGTTACAGCTGTAGCACATGTTTCAGCTGTAGCACATGTTACAGCTGTAGCACATGTTACAGCTGTAGCACATGTTACAGCTGTAGCACATGTTTCAGCTGTAGCACATGTTACAGCTGTAGCACATGTTACAGCTGTTGCACATGTTACAGTTGTAGCACATGTTACAGCTGTAGCACATGTTACAGCTGTAGCACATGTTACAGTTGTAGCACATTTTACAGCTGTAGCATATGTTACAGCTGTAGCACATGTTACAGCTGTTGCACATGTTACAGCTGTAGCACATGTTACAGCTGTAGCACATGTTACAGCTGTAGCACATAGTTACAGCTGTAGCACATTGTTACAGCTGTTGCACATGTTACAGCTGTAGCACATGTTACAGCTGTAACACATGTTACAGCTGTTGCACATGCTACAGCTGTAGCACATGTTACAGCTGTAGCACATGTTACAGCTGTAGCACATGTTACAGCTGTAGCACATGTTACAGCTGTAGCACATGTTACAGCTGAAGCACATGTTACAGCTGTAGCACATGTTACAGCTGTAGCACATGTTACAGCTGTAGCACATGTTACAGCTGTAGCACATGTTTGCAGCTGTAGCACATGTTACAGCTGTAGCACATGTTACAGCTGTAGCACATGTTACAGCTGTAGCACATGTTACAGCTGTAGCACATGTTACAGTTGTAGCACATGTTACAGCTGTAGCACATGTTACAGTTGTAGCACATGTTACAGCTGTAGCACATGTTACAGCTGTAGCACATGTTACAGCTGTAGCACATGTTACAGCTGTAGCACATGTTACAGCTGTAGCACATGTTATAGCTGTAGCACATGTTACAGCTGTAGCACATGTTACAGCTGTAGCACATGTTACAGCTGTAGCACATGTTACAGCTGTAGCACATGTTACAGGTGTAGTGTATGCTACCCGGTAGACTACGTGTAGTCTACCGGGAGGTTGTTCATGGGGGTCAACGCCTCCGCGGCTCTGTCCTTGACCAGGCCTCCCAGTGGATAAGGGCCTGATCAACCAGGCTGTTATTGATGGCTGCGTACAGTCAAACGTACGAAGCATAACCATACTGACTGGGTACCGACGTTAGGTATCTGTTCAGTTGAAGACAACCAGGTGTCTCTTGGTAATTCCACTTAGGTATGATGGGAGGCTGTTGAACAGTCTTGGGCCCCTGACACTTATTGTGTTTTCTCTCAGGGTGGTCATGGTATCCCTGCTTTTCATTGCGAGTGGTCAGATAGTTTTGTCAATTTTTTTTTTTCATTTTTCCGTTTTTTGACGTTTCATTGTCACTATACTTGCACCTGTGACCTTTTACCTAACACTTAAAAAAATATCTTGCTACTGAATGGTTTTAACTGCTGTAGGTTTGTTTACCAAGGTTTGTGGAGTCTGTATCTCCTGGTTCCTTTCATATGGTAATACTGTGTTGTAGTACTGTTTATTCTGGGATGATGGATAACACAGTCATGGTAAAAAAGATTACAGGAGGTGGAATGACACATCCCTTTTGGTCAGGAGGTGGAATGACACACCCCTTTTGGTCAGGAGGTGGAAAGACATACCTCTTTTGGTCAGGAGGTGGAATGACACACCTCTTTTGGTCAGGAGGTCACGACATTTTCTTGGCTAGTCAACGCTGCACAACCCATTCGTTTCCACGAACATTCCATGCGTACACGAACCTCAAGTATCATAACATCTGCACAATTCTGACTGAGACATACAAGTCACTAAGAGGATTTAACAGCAACTGAGTCCATGCTGAGATGCAAGACACAGACGAGAAGGAGTATAGATGGAAGACACAGATGAGCCACAGAGATATAAGGAAATACTCTTGCAGTATCAGGGTCGAGCATATAAGTACTTGAGGAAGTAACACAGGCGAACTCAGTATATAGTTCAAGAAAAGGTACGACTGTGTCCTAGAGTCCAGGAGCTCATGATGCAGACGATCGTGGTTTAACTGAGGGGACAGGAGCTGAGACTCAACCTCTATAGCTGGAATGGGGACCCTCATCCTCAGAGAAGACAATAAACGTATCTCAGGGAAAACTCAAGGTTCTCCCCGGAGCTGTTTGAATATTTGCTTTTCCTACCACCCTCTATATATTTTACATTCTATGTGAACATTTATTGATAAACAGAATACATGTGCAGAAAAACACAAACATGAATACAATGGTACAATGTATTAAAGATCATGAATTTCCTCCAGCTCCTCCGAAGTCGGACGCGAGCCAAGTATGCAGCAAGCATTTCCCCTCTGGATGGCTACGCTGAGGCGTTGGAACATGAAAGTGGCTGCCCTTGGCTCCCTGGTGGTGTTGATGAGTCTGGAACCAAGTTCTTTGAGGAAACGTGTGGCATTCTTTCCCCATGATCCCAAGGTCTCTGATCCCACTGGGACAAATTGGTACTGTTGGCTTATGTCCCTGTGCTTGCTGATCTTGTACTCCTCCCTGTGGTCAGCAGCTCCTCTCTGTCGCCCCACACTGTGATGCATATAGGTGTCAGCCAGTGTGGACACACAGGTATAGTCCCATGCTAAGAGCTCGCCATTCTTCCAAGGATAGATGGTGATCCCGTCGGGGCGGGATAAAATGGACACTGAACACAGAACGCCAATAACATAACTCTGCTGCTGTAACTACAAACACTGAACACAGAATATCAATAGCAGAACTCTGCTGTTGTAACTACAAATACTGAACACAGCACCAATAACATACGCTGTTGTAACTACAAACACTGAACACAGAACACCACTAACATAACTCTGCAGCTATAACTATCACCACCACCACCACCATATTTCAATGCCTTCACGAACGTACCTAAATCACCTACTTTCCCAACAGGTGTCGTGGATGAGGAGCCGTGACCTGCACCTACTGACAGTAGGTCGCTTCACCTACACTAGTGACGACAGGTTCAAGTCAGTGCACCAGACGGGATCAGAAGATTGGCTACTTAAGATCCACTACGCCCAGCACAGAGACGCAGGTGCTTACGAGTGCCAGATCTCCACCACACCTCCCATGTCCAAGGTCATCTGGCTCACTGTTGTCGGTGAGTGAGCTCTGCTGGTGTTCTCTCTGTGTCAGGCTCTGCTGGTGTTTTCTGTGTGTCAGGCTTTACTGGTGTCCTCTGTGTGTCAGGCTCTGCTGGTGTTCTCTGTGTATCAGGCTCTGTTAGTTTTCTCTCTGTGTCAGCTCTACTGGTGTTCTCTGTGTCAGCTCTACTAGTGCTCTGTCAGGCTCTACTGGTGTTCTCTGTGTGTCAGCTCTACCAGTGTTCTGTCAGTCTCTGCTGGTGTTCTCTGTGTGTCAGCTCTACCAGTGTTCTGTCAGTCTCTGCTGGTGTTCTCTGTGTGTCAGCTCTGCTATTGTTCTATCTGCCTGTCTTCTGATGTTGTCTCTGACAGTCTCAGTTGGTGTTCTTTCTATGAATCTCATTCTTGACTGTAGCTCACTACAGAAAAGTGTAAGGTTCAGATCCCAGGTTCACATCCTAGGGAAACTAAATAACACTGTAGATGCTAGAGTAAATGCAAGAAAGATCTAGGAGTTGAAGGCCGCATAAATTAAAAGCCAAGACGACAGTGTTTAAATGTTCGCAATAAAGCCAGTAGAATTCCTGGCTTTATATCAAGAAGTATAAATAACAGAAGACTTAAGCTATACTTCAAGTTTATATATGGCTGGTAAGACTTCATTTGGATTATGTTGCTCATTTCTGGTCTCCAAATTAGAGGATGGACACGAATGCTCTCGGAAATATACAGATAAGGATAACGAAATTGATTACCTGCATTAGGGAGAGGCTGAAGACATTGAATTAGCACTCTTAGGAAAGGCGTAGACTTAGGGGAGATGTGACTGCAGTCTCCATGGGAAAGTGGAAAGAATTCTTACCCCATGAGCCATACGTGTCGTAAGAGGCGACTAAGATGTGAGTAACTGTACTGGACCTCTATGAGCCTTGTGAGTAACTGTACTGGATCCCTGTGAGCAACTGCCGTACATTGTACCCTCGCTTGTGAGTCTGCACTGCGTTGTCTCACTCGGTAATCACCTTAATGCAGGTGTGATTAAGGGCCCCCCTGCCTCACCTACCTCACCTGCCTCACCTGCACCTGAGGGATTATCCACCTTGCGTTCTGAGGCAACATTAAGCGCCCGTAAACGCTTAATTCACCCGGGAGAATTTATATCCCCGTTGCTCCGAGTGTAAATGTTTATATAATGAATATACATCACCTTGTTGCCTCTGAGTGTAAATGTAGATTTAATTAATTCATCGCTCTGCTAATCCCTTCATGAATTTTGGGTTCGGGTTGGGAGTCGGTGAGTTAGTTGTGGGTTGTGAGAGGTGTTGATGGGGTGGTGGTGAGGTGGTGGGGTTGGGGACAGTGGCTTTAACATTTTATAAGTGGTTGTCTTAATATTTAAGTGGTTGTCTTAATATTTGAGTGGTAGTATTAATATTTAAGTGGTTGTCTTAATATTTAAGTGGTTGTCTTAATATTTAAGTGGTTGTCTTAATATTTAAGTGGTTGTCTTAATATTTAAGTGGTTATCTTAATATTTAAGTGGTTGTCTTAATATTTAAGTGGTTGTCTTAATATTTAAGTGGTTGTCTTAATATTTAAGTGGTTGTCTTAATATTTAAGTGGTTGTCTTAATATTTAAGTGGTTGTCTTAATATTTAAGTGGTTGTCTTAATATTTAAGTGGTTGTCTTAATATTTAAGTGGTTGTCTTAACATTTAAGTGGTTGTCTTAATATTTCTCGTAAAAAAAAGTTGAAACATTAATATATTTTCTAAAAGCTTCTTTTTTTATTATCATTAAATATATATAAATGTGATTTATTGGTTATTTTAATATAGACGTTTAATATTGTAGATGATAAATGGAGGTTCTTTTTTTATTCAGAATATCGGCAGGTTTGTCCTGACCTGCAGCGGGAGAGTTTCTCGGTCAGAGGACCTAAAGCTCGAGCTGTGGGTCATCATCTTAACTAAGACCCGCGTCAGGAAACACTTGTCCTGTTTCCTGACGAAGCAGATATGTTCCAGCCTTTGTTGTTATGTGCTGAACTGTTGAAAAATATTTTCTCACACCAATAGCTGGTGACACATGGCACCAGGATCCCCAAAATTTTATCTGGTAATTGAGGGAACGTCTTGAGATGTCCACACTGGAAATTTCCAGACGTCATTGATAATAATACCGTTCATAGTTCTTCATTATCTCTCGCTTTAACAAAATTATGACTGTCATTCATGGAATCCGTCACAGTAACATCATCAAAGTGACAATAATAACCTCACCAAGATTAAATCTCTTCTGGCAAATATATATATATATATATATATATATATATATATATATATATATATATATATATATATATATATATATATATATATATATATATATATATATATTATCGTTCTCATTAGACCCTTCCCAGGAGAACCTCCATCAGCAGAACCCCTATCATCCTCATCAGAAGCTTTCCAATACATTCCATAACCCCAACAGAACCTTCAAGTACCCATCAAACTCTCCCCCCCCCCCACCTTTTTTTTAATTTCGGAGCACTTCTTGAGTTCTTTCTTCCTGTCAGAACCAGAGACCCGGGTGTTAGGCGGACCTGACCTCTACATCAACTCTGGGTCAACTATCAACTTGACCTGCATCGTCAATCACAGCCCTGAGCCACCACCCTATATCTTCTGGTACCATGAAAATGAGGTTAGTGTGTGTGTGTTGTGTGTGTGTGTTTGTGTGTGTGTGTGTGTGTGTGTGTGTGTGTACATGTTGTGTGTGTGTGTATGTGTGCTTGTATAAGCAGTGACCAATTGTGTTTCCTGGCCCAGCCTGTGCTCTGGCCGCTATTAGGTTCACTCTCCTGGCTGCGTGAGACCTATCATACTTGTTCTTAAATTATGTATGGATCCAGCCTCTTCCACTTCGTTATCTAGTATGTTACTCTTCCTGACCACTCTGGAGCTAACAAAAAATATTTCCTAACATTCCCGTGACTCATCTTGATTTTTAACTTGCAGCAGTGCCCTCGTGTGCCTCCCGAACAAACTCATCCTGTCAACCCTGATAATCCCTTTCAGTATTTCGTACGTTGTAATTATGTCACCCATGATCCTCATTTCTAATGTTATTAGATTTAACTCCTTCATTCTCTGGTCATAACTCATACCTCTCAGCTCTGGGACTAGTCTCGTTGTATTATCAGATCTGGGTTTCATACTGGCTCTGCTTACTCGAAGACGAGCCTGACATACAGCGTGTGTATGGGGTCGTGAATGCCTCCTTGTTTACGCTCTAAAAACTAGTTAAATATGTTGGACTTGCGTTTGCAGCAACTCTTCTCAGTTGTTGTGCTCCTCAGGAGGGGGAATTACGTTCACCTCGATGTCCTTCTTTTGCAGGAAGTTGTGTAACTTTTGTCTCCTGAGCCTCTGCTCTTTTTTCCGGTCATCTTTGTCTTTCCTCGATATTCGTAACTTTGCGATTGTCGGGGTTAAATTCTAATAGCCACCTGTCAAACCAATCTTGATTCTTGTCCAGATCCATTTGTAGTCTTTCCTGTTCTGCTTCTGTTTGCGTTCTCGTTAGTGTCACGTCATCTGACAACAGATTTCCTCCGTCATGTCGTTTACATAACAATCAATACTAGACCAAGCAACGGCCCTTGTGAAACCTCCTCTCGTCACCCTCTCCCGGATAATGTCTGCTCCTCTAGCTTTTGTCCCCATCTTCTGTAGAGTACTGCACTGAACGCCTTCTTATAGTCAAAAAATAAACAGGTCACCGATCCCTCTCTCTCTCTCCTGCCTAATTTTCTATACCTTGTCTCAGAACTCGAGCAAATTTGTGAGATAAGATTCTCTATCTCGAAAACTGTGCTGGTTGTTGTTTATGAATCTGCTCCTTTCCAAGTGCTCCACTACACTCTTCCTGGTAATATTCTCCATAACTTTACATAGTTTGAATCTCAGTGGCACTGATCTTGTGTCTTAATATCGTCGGCATTACATTCACCGATTTCCAGACCGCCGGCTGCTGCTCTGTTTCAGTTAACTTGTTGAAGATCGTTGCTAATGGTTCACAAAGTCTCTCTAATCCCTCATGCAGAACCCATACAGAGAAGTCGTCTGGTCCCACCACCTTCCCATCACACTGCAGTTTCTTCACCTCTATTCCCGCTGTGTGTATTATGTCCAGTGCTCGCTGGTGCACTCACTCTCTTTGACATTCTGGCAATGTTCCTCATTCCAAAACTATTTTATTCAGTTTCTCACGTACTTAACTGGTCATTTATGCAAGCTCTGCATCTTCCTTCTTCAGCCTCATTACCTGGTATTTCCTAGACGTCTACTTGCCGTTGAGACTGTGTACACACCATTGGTTCAGATTTCGCCATTGATGCTTTTGTCTACGCATATTGGCACTCTTTGCTTTCTAAATGTCGTCCAAACTCTTGGCCCCTGCACCTGTGCTTCTGCTGGTGTGTGTGTGTGTGTATGTGTGTGTGTGTGTGTAGGTGTCGAGTCCTCAGCTCCTGAGTACGTGTGCGAGTGAGAGAGAGACAAAGAAAAAAAAACGACAACAATTATGTAAATAATCTAACTCCATGTTTTTTCCCACCTCCTTCTGCCCCACTCCCACCTCCTGTCCTACTCCCGTCCCTTGCTGTTACACTCCGCTGGACGGACGCAGTTGTTGTCGTACGACTCCCCAAGAGGAGGGATCACGGTGGTGACGGAGCACGGTCCCACCTCCTCCTCCAGACTTCTTATACAAAAAGCTTCCGTCAGTGACGCCGGCAGGTATACTTGTCGCCCTGCCAACGCTGATCCTCACCACATCACCGTGCACATCATCCCTAGTAAGTCACGTGTCCATCCCTAGTAAGTCACGTGTCTATCCCTAGTAAGTCACACCATCCCTCGTAAGTCACATGTCCCTAGTAAGCCATGCGTCCCTCTCTAATAATTCACACCATCCCTAGCAAGTCATGTATCCCTCCCTGGTAAGTTACACCATTCCTAGTAATGGTGACACCATCCCTAGAAAGTAACATAATGCCTTGTAATTCACATCAATCTTAATAAGCCACCTAATCCACTAAGTAACATCACTAGTAACATCATAAGTAAATCACATCACTAGTAACATCACTAGTGAGTCACATCACTAGTAACATCACTAGTGAGTCACATCACTAGTAACATCACTAGAGAGACACATCACTAGTAACATCACTAGTAAATCACATCACTAGTAACATCACTAGTGAGTCACATCACTAGTAACATCACTAGTGAGTCACATCACTAGTAACATCACTAGTGAGCCACATCACTAGTAACATCACTAGTGAGTCACATCACTAGTAACATCACTAGTGAGTCACATCACTAGTAACATCACTAGTGAGTCACATCACTAGTAACATCACTAGTGAATCACATCACTAGTAACATCACTAGTGAGTCACATCACTAGTAACATCACTAGTGAGTCACATCACTAGTAACATCACTAGTGAGTCACATCATTAGTAACATCACTAGTAAGTCATGTCACTAGTAACATCACTAGTAAGTCATGTCACTAGTAGCATCACTAGTAAGTCATATCACTAGTAACATCACTAGTAAGTCATGTCACTAGTAACATCACTAGTAAGTCATGTCACTAGTAACATCACTAGTAGGCCACATCACTAGTAACATCACTAGTAAGTCATGTCACTAGTAACATCACTAGGAAGTCACATCACTAGTAACATCACTAGTAAGTCATGTCACTAGTAACATCACTAGTAAGTCACATCACTAGTAACATCACTAGTAAGTCATGTCACTAGTAACATCACTAGTAAGTCATGTCACTAGTAACATCACTAGTAAGTCACATCACTAGTAAGTCATGTCACTAGTAACATCACTAGTAAGTCATGTCACTAGTAACATCACTAGTGAGTCACATCACTAGTAACATCACTAGTGAGTCACATCACTAGTAACATCACTAGTGAGTCACATCACTAGTAACATCACTAGTAAGTCATGTCACTAATAACATCACTAGTAAGTCACATCACTAGTAACATCACTAGTGAGTCACATCACTAGTAACATCACTAGTAAGTCATGTCACTAGTAACATCACTAGTAAGTCATGTCACTAGTAACATCACTAGTAAGTCATGTCACTAGTAACATCACTAGTGAGTCACATCACTAGTAACATCACTAGTGAGTCACATCACTAGTAACATCACTAGTAAGTCATGTCACTAGAAATTGTCGTCATTCGTAGAGTCAATTGTCTTTGATAAGTTAAGAGACAAGTGGTAAAAAAAATTAAAAGATGGGTTACACACCTGTAGTGAGAGATACACACCTGTAGTGAGAGATACACACCTGTAGTGAAAGTATGCACGTGTGTAACAGGTGTGGCAGCACTGCCAGTGTGGTCACTGCTGCGCCAGGCGAATCAGTCAGATTAAATCTACAAAATCGTAAATAAGTGCAAGTAACTTGGTGGGAAGGAGGAAGGGAGAGAGAGGGAGAGAGGGAGGGAGGGGGGGAGAGAGGGAGGGAGGGAGAGAGGGAGGGAGGGAGGGAGAGAGGGAGGGAGGGAGAGAGAGAGAGAGAGGGAGGGAGAGAGAGGGAGAGAAAGGGAGGAGTATGTAAGGATAGGATGGGAGTGGTTGGTGAGGATAGTCTGGGAGTAGTTTGATATAAGGATTGTACTAGGATAGTATGGTATTAGTTTACAAGGATGGGGTTGAGAGGTTTCTCACTCCCCCCCTCTCAGAAACATAATCCCCCCCGGAAACCTCCCCTCCCCCCGTCTCTCTCTCACCCTAACTAACCACAGTCCTGTATCGCACCCGCAGATGAACACCCGGCCGCCATCCACCACAAGAACGGCACCTCTGCGGGCGTCAGGTTGCACCATCCAGCCCACGCCCACACGCCCATCCTCATAATCTTCACTCTCCTCATCTTTATCCTCTTCAGCAGCGCCTCCAGCAGCGCCTCCAACAGCGCCTCCAGCAGCGCCTCCAACAGCGCCTCCAGCAGCGCCTCCAGCAGCGACTCCAGCAGCGACTCCAGCAGCAGCAGCAACAATAACAACGACAACAGCAGCAGCAGTCTGCTCTACCTAATTCCTGTTGGTGGTGTGGGTGGTGTGGGTGGTGTGGGGGTCCACCCACTAGATAGGGGAGTGTGTTGGACTCTCCCACGTACCACCCACACCCACGTACGTCACGCCCACAGCAGTGTTGAGAGAGGGGTTGGTGTGAGTGTGGTGGGTTGAGAGTAAGAGCGCAACAGAAACAATCTAAAGTATCCAAGAGATCTCTAATCTAAGAGCGCTCTAAGCAATTTAAGAGCTCTGGCTACAATCTAAGAGCGCTCTAAAGAACCCAAGAGCTCTCGTAACAATGTAAGAGCTCTGATAATAATCTAAGAGCTCTGGGAACAATCTAAGAGTTCTGGGAACAATCTAAGAGTTCTGGGAACAATCTAAGAGCTATTGTAACAACCTCAAAACACTATAAACTCTCTAAGAGCGCTGTAAAGTATCTAAGAGCTCTCTGTAGCATCCAGACGACGTACTGCTGACACTAGGGAACAAAAGAGGCACCAGCGTAGCTCTTATCAAGTCAAGACGACCCGGCGAAGCTCTTAAGCAGCGCGAAACGTTGTTGTGACCCTCTCCCCCCTCCCCATCGGTCCCTCGGCCTTCAAGGGGGTGGTGGCGGTGATCCCACCGTCAGGAGAAAGCTCAAAACGTAGCTCCTGACGGCGTCAGCAGTCCATGTGCCTTCCAGTAAGCTTACTCTCCCTTCCCCCCACCTTTCCCCATCTCCCCCCTCCCTCCCCCCTACACACTCTCCCTCTACCACACCCTCCCTTACAACCCCCTTTTTCCTTCTCTCGAATTAAAGCTGGAAATAAAGACGAGAAGAAAGAGCTTTACCGGTACTAAGCTCTATTAAGCAGATTTAAAGCTTCTGCTCTTTTTTATACCTCTCGTGAAATGTGTATCAAAACAAATACATATATATATATAATATATATATATATATATATATATATATATATATATATATATATATATATATATATATATATATATATATATATATATATATATATATATATATAAAGATTTTGTTGAGTATATGAGACTTTAATAAATAAATATTAGACTTTTGTTGTGAGTGTTAGAAGGAAGTAAAGTCATATAAATACAGAGATTTGTTAAGTCTCTTTAGTATTGGGACTGACACGAGTCTAGAGGAGTTAAGAAGCTGGAGCTGAAGCTTTGGTGATTTGTGTGTGGTTCAGTCCTCCCTGGGTGATTTGTGTGTGGTTCAGTCCACCCTTTGGTGATTTGTGTGTGGTTCAGTCCCCCTGGGTGATTTGTGTGTGGTTCAGTCCTCCCTGGGTGATTTGTGTGTGGTTCAGTCCACCCTTTGGTGATTTGTGTGTGGTTCAGTCCCCCCTGGGTGATTTGTGTGTGGTTCAGTCCTCCCTGGGTGATTTGTGTGTGGTTCAGTCCTCCCTGGGTGATTTGTGTGTGGATCAGTCCTCCCTGGGTGATTTGTGTGTGGTTCAGTCCTCCCTGGGTGATTTGTGTGTGGTTCAGTCCTCCCTGGGTGATTTGTGTGTGGTTCAGTCCACCCTTTGGTGATTTGTGTGTGGTTCAGTCCCCCCTGGGTGATTTGTGTGTGGTTCAGTCCTCCCTGGGTGATTTGTGTGTGGTTCAGTCCTCCCTGGGTGATTTGTGTGTGGATCAGTCCTCCCTGGGTGATTTGTGTGTGGTTCAGTCCTCCCTGGGTGATTTGTGTGTGGTTCAGTCCTCCCTGGGTGATTTGTGTGTGGTTCAGTCCTCCCTGGGTGATTTGTGTGTGGTTCAGTCCTCCCTGGGTGATTTGTGTGTGGTTCAGTCCCCCCTGGGTGATTTGTGTGTGGATCAGTCCTCCCTGGGTGATTTGTGTGTGGATCAGTCCTCCCTGGGTGATTTGTGTGTGGTTCAGTCCTCCCTGGGTGATTTGTGTGTGGTTCAGTCCCCCCTGGGTGATTTGTGTGTGGATCAGTCCTCCCTGGGTGATTTGTGTGTGGATCAGTCCTCCCTGGGTGATTTGTGTGTGGATCAGTCCTCCCTGGGTGATTTGTGTGTGGTTCAGTCCTCCCTGGGTGATTTGTGTGTGGATCAGTCCTCCCTGGGTGATTTGTGTGTGGTTCAGTCCCCCCTGGGTGATTTGTGTGTGGTTCAGTCCTCCCTGGGTGATTTGTGTGTGGTTCAGTCCACCCTTTGGTGATTTGTGTGTGGTTCAGTCCCCCCTGGGTGATTTGTGTGTGGTTCAGTCCTCCCTGGGTGATTTGTGTGTGGATCAGTCCTCCCTGGGTGATTTGTGTGTGGTTCAGTCCTCCCTGGGTGATTTGTGTGTGGATCAGTCCTCCCTGGGTGATTTGTGTGTGGATCAGTCCTCCCTGGGTGATTTGTGTGTGGTTCAGCCCTCCCTGGGTGATTTGTGTGTGGTTCAGTCCTCCCTGGGTGATTTGTGTGTGGATCAGTCCTCCCTGGGTGATTTGTGTGTGGATCAGTCCTCCCTGGGTGATTTGTGTGTGGTTCAGCCCTCCCTGGGTGATTTGCGTGTGGTTCAGTCCTCCCTGGGTGATTTGTGTGTGGTTCAGTCCTCCCTGGGTGATTTGTGTGTGGATCAGTCCCCCCTGGGTGATCTGTGTGTGGTTCAGTCCCCCCTGGGTGATTTGTGTGTGGATCAGTTCCCCCTGGGTGATTTGTGTGTGGATCAGTCCCCCCTGGGTGATTTGTGTGTGGATCAGTCCCCCCTGGGTGATTTGTGTGTGGATCAGTCCCCCCTGGGTGATTTGTGTGTGGTTCAGTCCCCCCTGGGTGATTTGTGTGTGGATCAGTTCCCCCTGGGTGATTTGTGTGTGGATCAGTCCCCCCTGGGTGATTTGTGTGTGGATCAGTCCCCCCTGGGTGACTGTGTCGTTCACTCAGAGTATTATAAAATCACTATATTGTAACACTCACCGGGACGAAGGATCGAGCCTTCCACCCGCTCCTGGCGCCCTCGCCCGTGCGGGTTTACAGCATTAGGACCAGTCTTCGGCTCCACTTTGTCTTCTGAGATTTGTCTTAGTTACCTTCCTGGGGAAGCGCCAGACCCGTAGGAGGGGTAATCCCAACAGCTCCTGAGGAATGACGGGTAGGGGCCACACTCAAGTTTGATCCGAGGAAAGGGGAAGGCTGCTCTGTTTCCTTCCATCAAGAGCCTTCCACTTGTCCTCCTCTTTTTTATACCCCTTCTCCCTTACGTTGCTAGCCACGTCATTCATCCACGTAAACGTCTGACGAACGTCAAAGGTTTGATGAACGTCTAACGTCTGATGAACGTCTGGTAACGTTTGACGAACATCAGGCAAAGAGACAATTACCTTGACAGGGTAATGAAGGAATGTCAGTGGTCCGAGACCTGTGAGTGTTCAGGTGTGCTAGTAGTCTCCCTAGGGCCTGTGTCAAGACCTGACAGCTCTGCTTAGGACCTGCGTTAGGACTTGGCGTAGGTCTGTTTACGACCTAAGTCAAGACCTGACAGGTCTGTCTAGGAGCTAGGTCAGGACCTGACAGCTCTGTCTAGGATCTAGGTCAGGACCTGACAGGTCTAAGACCTACGTCAAGAACAGACAGGTCTGTCTAACACGAGAAACAATGTTATGTCGGTGTCTGTATAATAAAAACTGGATGTGACAGAAGGTGTTCTCATTAGCTCCTACCATTCCCTCTTCTCTTACGTGAATCGGGAAATCTGGCGAAGGACGGAGGATCGAGCCTCCGTGGTGAATACTTCACACCGGATAAGCCGAGTAAAAAAAATAGATCGATCCATTGAATCAACTAGATTTTATTATGGTCTCTGAGTGTTCAAAAGCATCCCAGGTGTTGCGCACCCCAGTCTCCTCTACCTCACTCTTGTAATGGGGTTAAATATTAGCGTTGAAGACTGGAAGTCAGTGAGAGAGGGGTTTACAAGTCATCAGTTGGGAACTGAACAAATTTCATCGATTAAAAAAACTGGTAAATTGGGATACAAGCGGTAGTTTACAGGTGCTAAACGCCTGTTAACTACCGCTTGAATTCGTAATAGAAATCACTTTGAAGAATATTATTTATGAAACAGAAGAGAGTACACCTGCACTTGACAGTTGTATCACAAAATAAATGATAGTTGACAAAGGTTGAAAAATTAGAAACCGACCGGATAAGGCGTGTTGAAGCTATAAACCCACGAGGAAGTTAGTGGAGAACGAGAACACTGTACTAAACAGTGTCTCGGCTCTGTCTCGGCTCTGTCTCGGCTCTGTCTCGGCTCTGGCGCACAACTACTGTCTTCTGTCACTCTAATACAAATAAATCATAAGATTTAATTTTTCAATTGAAAAATAAATACAATAGTGGACCAAGAAGGAAGGAAGGTGCACAGAGAGGTGCACAGAGGGAAGGTGCACAGAGGGAAAGTGCACAGAGGGAAGGTGCACAAGGGAAGGTGCATAGAGGGAAGGTGCACAAGGGAAGGTGCACAGAGAGAAGGTGCACAGAGGGAAGGTGCACAGAGGTAAGGTGCACAGAGGGAAGGTGCACAGAGGGAAGGTGCACAGAGGGAAGGTGCACAGAGGGAAGGTGCACAGAGGGAAGGTGCACAGAGGGAAGGTGCACAAGGGAAGGTGCACAGAGGGAAGGTGCACAGAGGGAAGGTGCACAGAGGGAAGGTGCACAGAGGGAAGGTGCATAGAGAGAAGGTGCACAGAGGGAAGGTGCACAGAGGGAAAGTGCATAAAGGGAAGGTGCACAGAGGAAAGGTGCACAGAGAGAAGGTGCACAAGGGAAGGTGCACAGAGGAAAGGTGCACAGAGAGGTGCACAGAGGGAAGGTGCACAGAGGGAAGGTGCACAGAGGGAAGGTGCACAGAGGGAAGGTGCACAGAGGGAAGGTGCACAGAGGGAAGGTGCACAGAGAGAAGGTGCACAGAGGGAAGGTGCACAGAGGGAAGGTGCAGAGAGGGAAGGTGCACAGAGGGAAGGTGCACAGAGGGAAGGTGCACAGAGGGAAGGAGCACAGAATGAAGGTGCACAGAGGGAAGGAGCACAGAGGGAAGGTGCACAGAGGGAAGGTGCACAGAGGGAAGGAGCACAGAATGAAGGTGCACAGAGGGAAGGTGCACAGAGGGAAGGTCACAGAGGGAAGGTGCACAGAGGGAAGGTGCACAGAAGGAAGGAGCACAGAAGGAAGGAGCACAGAGGGAAGGTGCACAGAAGGAAGGAGCACAGAGGGAAGGTGCACAGAAGGAAGAATCACAGAGGGAAAGTACACAGAAGGAAGGAGCACAGAGGGAAGGAGCACAGAAGGAAGGAGCACAGAGGGAAGGAGCACAAAGGGAAGGTGCACAGAGGGAATGTGCACAGAGGGAAGGTGCACAGAGAGAAGGAGCACAGAAGGAAGGAGCACAGGGAGAAGGAGCACAGAAGGAAGGAGCACAAAGGGAAGGAGCACAGAGGGAAGGAGCACAGAGGGAAGGAGCACAGAGGGAAGGTGCACAGAGGGAAGGAGCACAGAGGGAAAGAGCATAGAAGGAAGGAGCACAGAGGAAAGGTGCACAGAAGGAAGGAGCATAGAGGGAAGGAGTATAGAAGGAAGGAGCACAGAGGAAAGGTGCACAGAAGAAATGAGCATAGAGGGAAAGTACACAGAAGGAGGGAGCACAGAGGGAAGGAGCACAGAAGGAAGGAGCACAGAGGGAAGGAGCACAGAGGGAAGGTGCACGGAGGGGAAGGTGCACAGAGGGAAGGTGCACAGAGGGAAGATGCACAGAGGGAAGGTGCACAGAGGGAAGGAGCACAGAAAGAAGGAGCACAGAAGGAAGGAGCACAGAGGGAAGTAACAC